GCAGACAACATATAGTTGGGAGCCTCAAGCTTTTAAAAGATGAAATCTTCAGATCCTAGTGATCATTTAGATATGAGGATCATAGGATGACTCAAGTGTTTTCTTCAACAATTGCTAGTTCCATTCACTGAGATAAAGAATGAAGGGGAAAGAGCAGATTTAGGGACAGAGGAGATGTGTGGTCATGTTGAGTTTGTTGTGCCCATGGCCTATCTGCTGGAGATATCCAGAGACTAGGGCCTTGGTGGAGCTGGAGTTCCGGATAGAGATGAGGGTTTGAGACATTGACTTCAGACTCAGAAGTGCTTTGATTTTGTCAGTGGCCCTGGGAGAGGGTGGAAATGTGCAAGGGGAGTGGGCAGACTGAAGGAGAATAGAATGAGCACCACCATATCAATGAGAATTCTTTGGTTTCAATGACAGAGTACAGATGGCTTAGCTCAAATAACAAAATGCAAAAAGTCAAAGACAGGATTTCTGTCTTTTCATTCCCTCCTGTCCTTCCAACTTTCTTCTCTCATATCAGCTATTTTCAGGACACTAGGACCATAGCCCCTGGCTGTTCTGGAATCACATTTCAGAACTTTGCAACTAGAGAAGAAAACTAATCCCCAGTTTCAATTCAGAACATCTCAGGGAAAGCCCTTTCTTGGATTGCATGCCATCTTTGAGGTACCCTGATTCATGGTTCCTATCAGAAACATTTTGGACAAAGGGAGGAGAATTTCCCCCAAAAGAAAATAGGGGAAGGCACATCAGGCAAACAAAAACAACCACCATCTCCCTCAGACACCAAGAGATCAAGGTGAGGGAAAGGGCCCTGGGAGGAGATTGAGGGGACCCCCTAAAGCAAAGGAATGACAGGGAAGTACAGTCCTGCAGAAGCCAAGGGGGCGTGCTCAGGGAACAGGACATGGCTGAAAAAGTCCTGTCATGGACTTGGGCAACGTTAGCCCTGGAGGGGTCGGTGCAGCGTTTGTGGGTACGTGTGTGTGACCCAAGGCTTGGGAAGGCATGAAGGGTGAGATAGTGGAGGCAGCATGATGGGGCAACTCTTTCAGGCAGTTCAGCTGTGGAACAGAAACAAGAGGAGGGCAATAGCTGAAGGCGGTCATGAGGCCAAGAAAATTCATTTTAAGATAGACAAAACTTGCATCTCTATGCAGGGAGGAAAACCAGAAGAGTAAGAAAGAATGAAGATGTGAGAGGGAGGGGTAATTGTATTAGTTATCTACTGCTGCATAACAAATTACTCCAAGATTTTTCAGCTTAAAATGACAAATATTTATTTCCTCACCCAATTTCTGAAATCCAAGAACAGCTTATCTGGGCGGTCTGGGCCAGGAACACTCACGTGGTTTATATTCATTTTCTAGGGTTCATTTATATTCAGCTTCTGGAGCTAGAAGTCTCAGACCAAAGATGTGGGCAGGGGTGCTTCTTCCCAAGGCCCCTCTCCTTGGCTTGCAGACAGTTACCCTCTTGCTACTTTGTCCTTGTATGACCATCCCTCTGCATGTACAGCTCTGGTATTTCTTCCTCTTCTTACAAGGATATCAGGGTTACGCCCCACCCTCACAGCTTCAGTTTAACTTCACCACTTCTTTAAAAGGGCTTTATCTTCAAATACAGTACCATTGTGAGGTACTGAGGGTTAGGACTTTCAACATATGAACTTGGTGAGGGGTTCACAATTCAGTCCATAACAAGGTTGCAGTCAGGACGTTGGCTGGAGCTCTGGTCATCTGAAGCCTTGACCATGGCTGGAAGATGTTTTCAAGATCACTGGCTGTTGACTGGAGACCTGAGTTCCTCACCACATGGGTCCTCCTTGGGGCTGCTTGAGTATCCTCATGACGCAGCAGCAAGTTCCCCCAGGCCGAGTGATCTCAGACAGAGCAAGGAGGAGGACACAGAGCCTTTTATGAACTAGTCTCAGAAGCTATACTCCATCACTCCGACCTTATTCTATTTGTTAGAAGGGAGTCACTAAATCCACATCCACAGTAGGGAGAATGAGTCTCCATATTTGGAAGGCAGCAGTGTCAAAGAATTTGTGGGAGTATTTTAACCACCAGAGTAATTGATAAAGCAAAAGCCCTGATGGAGGAGGCCATCAGTGTGGGGCTGTCAGGGGGCCTCTTCCCCTGGGCAGTCCCTTAAATGTTCTCAGATATAGGGAAAGGCAGGGAGTGGGCAGAGCTGGAAGCTGAGGGTGATTTTTCTCTCTTTTTTCAATGACACAGATCAAGGTGTTCTGCAGAGTGAGTAGTGGGAGGGAGATTTGAAATAAGAGTGTTGTTGGGTTTTTCTTTTTCCAGAAAGAGCTGACCAGGGCCCACTCAAGTGTCCCTGAGCATTTCTAAGGTCGCAGGGGAGGTGCTGGCCCCTGTCGTCAAGATGGTGTGACCCATCCTTGGTGTGCTCAGCTTGGTGCTGGGACTTTGCAAGGTACAAGCAGGAGTCAACAACATTCACAAGACAAGGGTGGACCAGAGGGCTCCACATAGAGTGCAGCTTATTGTACTTTATTTTTGTATTCCGTTTATGGGTACTTATAAAACCACTTTGTTCCAGAAAAGATGTAAGTCAGTTTCTAGGCAGGTTGGGATAGAAATGAAGCTCGGATGCCTGGTTGATAGAATGGAGAGAAAAGCAAGGGCTGAGGGGTTGTGATGAAATGAGGGAACAGTTGGCCATGGGCAGAGGGCCTGGTGCTGGCCTGGGGTGTGGCTGGAGGGTGGCAGCTGGAAGACATGTCTTCTGAAATGGAGAAGTTCTGGGACACAGGAAGACCAGGGCCAGTCGTGGGGGAGTGGTCAGTGGAGTCTGGGGACCAGAGGAGTGGGAGTCCAGAACACTTGGCAGGTTCATCCCTCAGGGATGGCAGGACTGGTGGGGGGGCACCTATGGGACACATCCTGGTGTTTGGAGAGGGATTATGTCCATGGAGGTCAGTGCCATGGGTGAGGGGGTAGAGGGTGACAGAGCTAAAGAACGTGGGTAAGCCTCAGATTCCTACCTGCGGTGGAGAAGTGAGGGGCCAGAGCCACAGTGGGGAGCGAGAGGCAGGCAATGCCCTCTGCGTCTTTCCCACCCACCACCTCATTGCAGTATGTGAGGCGTGGAGATGGACCAGCCTCCTCTTGAAAGAGCAGTATCCTCAGACACTTAAAAAGGAAACTCAATCTGACTACTACCGCCTTTTACATTGTAGGCACTCAACAAATGCTAGGAGGAGTAGATTGCCATAAACATATAAATGCTCACACACTAAAGAAAAATTGGAATAAGAAAATTCTTTGTCCAGCAGAACAGAGTGGCAAAGACTGTCTGTCACATTCACCCACTACCTACACCTCTAGTCTCCTCTTACCTCCCAGCTTGGTCTGCTCAGCCCAAATGTGCTGACCCCTCACATCCTTTGCACTTTTGCCTCTGCATCTTTTGCAGTTTTCCCTCTGCCTTTGCTAAAGTTGCAGCATCCCTAGAGAATCGCTCCCCCCGCCCACCGCCCGCTTTTATTTTGGTCTCGCAGCTTGCAAGATCTCAGTTCCCTGACCAGGGATTGGACCCAGGCCACGACAGTGAAAGCCCTGAATCCTAACCACTAGGCTACCAGGGAACTCCCGAGAAAGCCCCTCTTTCCTTCCACTGTGAATTCTTACAAATCTGTCAAAGGACATCCTCTCCAAGGGCTTCGTTCTCTGTTTCACTGAACAACTATTTCCTGGGTCCCTCCTTGGAGCAAGTCTGTGTTAGAAGCAGGAAGCATATGATGAACAAAAAAGCCAGTACCTGCCTCAGGCATCTCAGTGGGGCAAGGCTGGGGATGGGTGGGGCTCCTCCTTGCGATCAGGGCCTCCTCCCTCCCCTCCCTCCCCTCCCCCATCTTTCCCGTGTGTTTCTGTGTATGTGTGTATGTATGCGAGTTTTTAAGACAATGGTGGGGATATGTGTGCAGCATGTTTTCTGTCTCTGTGTTCCATATTGGTTTCACAGATACTGCACAGGGTTTGTTTTTCTCCCCCCCCCTCCCCCCTCCCTCCCCCACCTGCTGGCAGCTACACAGGCCTGCCTGTGTGCTCCCAGGGCACCTGGGAGGCCGCCAGGTGCTGCGGACAGGCCTGAAAGGAGGCAGGTCCAGGTTGAATCCCCAGCTGTGCTACTGATCAACAGGTCACCTTTCCTTTGTTGAGTCCCATGAGTGAAATGGGGGATATCTGTGTTTTGGGGGTTTCCGTGAGGTTTATTTATTTATTTTTGGCTGTGTTGGGTCTTTGTTGCTGTGCGCAGGCTTTCTCTAGTTGCAAAGAGCGGGAGCAACTCTTCGTTGTGGTGCACGGCTTCTCATCGTGGTGGCTTCTCTTGTTGCGGAGCACGGGCTCTGGGTGCACGGGCTTCAGTAGCTGTGGCTCGAAGGCTCTAGAGCGCAGGCTCAGCTCAGTGCACGGGCTCAGTTGCTCCGCGGCATGTGGGACCTTCCCGGACCAGGGCTCGAACCCATGTCCCCTTCATTGACAGGTGGATTCTTAACCACTGTGCCACCAGGGAAGCCCCTGTCCGTGAGGTTTAGATCAAGTATGTTGTGTCTCTAGTTCTGCTGGCTGCTTCCCTCAGCACTCCGTGTGGTGTAGGGTGATGACTGGTATTCACGGATGTCTGACCAGACACAGCTTGAGCTTCTGGATGGCAGGGATGGTGTCCTAAGGATGTTCAGAACCACCGCACTCCCAGTTGAGCCCAGTGCCAAGTGCAAAATAGACGTTCAGTAAAGATAAGATAGGATGGATGCAGCTGACGGGGCCTCCCCTCACACCTGCGGTGGGACCATGACTCATCCGTCCATTCATTGAAGAGTCATTTCTCGGCCCCATGCCAGGCGCTCAGAGCCACGCTGATGAACACACGTGGCTCCTACCCTCCAGGGCTCCAACTCAGGGCCACGAGGACTGACATTCTGCTTTCTCTCTGCACACAGGCTGTCAGGAGTGGCTGCCTCAGGATGTCGGGCTTGAGACTGGTAAGAATTGCATCTCTTCCATCGAGGGGTTGTTTGTGGGAGTTGCCACAGGCTGAGTCAAATCACTCCCAAGGAAAGAAGAAGAGAGGCAATGAGACCTATAAGAATACTGAAGACAGGGAGTTTGGAGGAACGAGACAGATTGTATTACCTAAAGAAAATGACCTTGGCCAACCTTTGGGCTTTGGCAGGGGGACCACACTTGCACAGTAATACCTCACTTACATTCAGGGCTTAAAATGTCCTGACAAAACACACTACAGTATATAAAATAGGTAACCAACAAGGACCTACTGTATAGCACAGGGAACTATACTCAGTATCTTGTAGTAACCTATAATGGAAGAGAATGTAAAAAAAGAATATATATCTATATCTATAGCTATATATTAATATATATATGTATAACTGAATCACTTTGCTATACACCTGAAACTAACACAACATTGTAAATCAACTATATTTCAATAAAATTTTGAAAAATAAAATAAAATGAAAAATAAAAGAACAGAAAAAAAAAAATGTCTTGACAGGGTATTTCTCATTTGTTGGATCCTTCATTTATCTAAGTAAAGGCAGCACAGAGGCATCTCTAGGCCCATCTTTTCTATGGGAAGAGAAGACACGGCAGGTGGGCACATGGGATCAGGGCACAATACCCATTTCAGCCAATGTCCAGAAGAGCCAGCCCACCTCGGAAGACTGAGGATCAGGTCTCCCGGAAGTGGATTCTTCATGGCCTTGGGTCTTTGAGTTTCCTTGTAGTAATTTCTGTCTCAGGCTGGGGAAGGAGCTTTCTGCGTCATGGGTAGCAGCCAGTTGTCAGGTATTTCTTATCACAAAGAACAACGAAGGTCACGTAGATCCCTCTGCTTTCTGTAATTCATCCTCTATTTCTTGAATCTCAGTACAGACTTTACTTTCTTTGCAGCTGATAGCTTCTGCTTTATCTCTTCTCGCTCACTCTCCTCCTGATTCAGCTGTTTCTGCACAGTCATCTTTTTCTTCCAATAGAGTTCGTGAAGCAGCTCTATTTTCTGCACTCGGCTTCTCATTTATTTCCTAGGAGAGCTTTGGCCAAATGGAGTGAACAAAAGTCATGTTCTAGCTCTTTTGTTTACTTTTGCAGCTCATGTTGGCCTGACACCTTATCATTAAGTGTGGACTGGAAATGGTCTCTTTTTCATCTCTGGTTAATATCAAGTTCACTGACAGATACCCATCATCTGTCTTTTTATTTATTTATTTATTTATTCATTTATTTATTGGCTGCGTCGGGTCTTCGACGCATGCGGGATCTTCGTTGAGGCATGCGGGATCCTTCGCTGTGGCGTGCAGGCTTCTCTCTAGTTGTGGCGTGCGGGTTTTCTCTTCTCTAGTTGTGGTACGCAGGCTCCAGGGAACGTGGGCTCTGTAGTTATGATGCACGGGTTCCAGAGCGCATGGGCTCTGTAGTCTTCGACACGTGGGCTCTCTAGTTGAGGTGCGCAAGCTCAGTAATTGTGGCACTTGGGCTTAGCTGCCCCGCGGCATGTGGGATCTTAGTTCCCTGACCAAGGATCAAACCTGTATCCCCAGCATTGGAAGGTGGATTCTTTACCACTGGACCACAAGGGAATTTCCCATCATCTGTCTTTGACTGATAATCTTCTCTCTTTGGTAATTTGCCCACTGTTTCAGCTGCACGCCGCAATTTTCACGCTGGAATTTTATCCCTGTTGTAAGAAAGCTTTTCTAGGTCTCTGAGGTTCCTGATGTGATTCAATTAGTTCACTGAATCTAGTATGCTGCTCAGGCTGGCCTTCTGCATCCTGTGGCAGCTGTTCCTTACTGTTCTTCATTTCACTTTTAGTTTTACTAAGTTGTTTTGGGCACACAGTTTGAAGAATCAGTCCCCCACTTCCTCTTCCAGAGAGGTGACCACCCTCGACCTTCTAGTCAATTCACTGATACTTCCCTCTGTGTCTCTAGAGAATGTGTGTACAGGGCTGTTTGAGTTTTTGGTTCCAGGCATCACCTATTACTGACTAGGTGAGAAGGGCCTTAGCTCCTTGCCCCTAATGCCCACCCACAGCACTCATACTGTTTCTCCTTCCTCCCGAAATTGTTAAATCCTAGCTTTCATTAGATCTACATACAGAGTTTACTTTTTTTATCTAAGAAAATGTTCCTCTCAAACGAAATTATGGTTACCAGAGGGGAAGTGTCAGGGGCAGGGAGGGATAGTTAGGGAGTTTGGGATTGACATGTACACACTGTTATATTTAAAATAGATAACCAACAAGGACCTACTGTAGAGCACAGGGAACTCTGCTCCATATTATATAACAACCTAAATGGGAAAAGAATTTGAAAAAGAAGAGATACATGTATATACATAACTGAATCACTTTGCTGTACACCTGAAACTAACACCACATTATTTTGTTGTTGTTGTTTTTGTTTTTGGCCGCGTCGGGTCTTAGTTGCAGCACGCAGGGTCTTCGTTGAGGCATGCGGGATCTTTCTTTGCAGCACGTGGGCTCTTCGTTGTGGTGTGCAGGCTTCTCTCTAGTTGTGGCCTGTGGGTTTTCTCTTCTCTGGTCATGGTGCACAGGCTCCAGGGTGCGTGGGCTTTGTAGTTGTGGCTCATGGGTTCCAGAGCACATGGGCTCTGTAGTTTGTGGCACGTGCGCTCTAGTTGAGGCACGAGAGCACAGTAGTTGTGGCATACGGGGTTAGTTGCCCCACGGCATGTGGGATCTTAGTTCCCTGACCAAGGATCGAACCCACGTCCCCTGCTTTGGAAGGCGAATTCTTCACCACTGGACCACCAGGGAAGTCCCTCACACAACATTGTTAATCAGCTATACTCCAATATAAAATAAAAAGTTTTAAAAAAGAAAGAAAGAAAATGTTCCTCTCGACTGAGCCCTGCAATGTATCGTAAGTGCTATGCTTCCCTTTGCTAGACTTTGTAATTGTCCTTCTGCCCTATCTGCTTTGTTTCCTCTGTACTTATGACGACATAACCTCCCCCCGCCCCCGGCCACCCAGCTTTCTCCCAGATATGTCAATGTCCTTTCAAAATGATTCATCTGGGGGTTCAATCAATTTCATCCTCAGAAAGAAGTTTCTCCTAGAGTTGCTGAGGCCGTATCTAAACCGGCATCTTCTGAGGCACACGTCTCGGAATTGTCCTGGGGTCTCCTTCACAACCACCCTGAAGCTTTCTTTCACCGCTCCTTTGCACTGAATCCCTTTTCTTGGACCCAAGGCTCTTCTCTCTCTTGGTTTACTCCCTTGTTTTGATCAAGCACAACCTGTAATAGCTTCCTGAGAAAGGGTACATATGAAGTAAATATTTTTAACAACTTGCATGTCTAAAAATATGTTTATTCACATTTGAATGTCAGCTGGGCATAGGATTCCATACTAGATGTAATTTTCCCTAAAAACTGTGAAGACATGTACTCCTTCTGGTTTCCAGCCTTGCTATGGAGAAGGTGGGCAACATTTTAATTCTTGAGCCTTTGTATAAAACTTATTTTTCTCTCTGAAAGCTTTTATGATCTTTTCTTTGTCCCAAGTTTTTTTTTTTTTTTTTTTTTTTTTTTTTTTTTTGGCGGTCCGCAGCCCTCTCACTGTTGTGGCCTCTCCCGCTGCCGAGCACAGGCTCCGGACGCGCAGGCTCAGCGGCCATGGCTCACGGGCCCAGCCGCTCCGCGGCGTGTGGGAGCTTCCCCGACTGGGGCACGAACCCGTGTCCTCTGCATCGGCAGGCGGACTCTCAACCATTGCGCCACCAGGGAAGCCCTGTCCCAAGTATTTTGAAATTTCTTGATGTGTGTGTTGGTGTGGACCTATATTCATTCTTTGCACTGTTTTTTTTTGTTTTGTTTTGTTTTTTTGTGGTATGCAGGCCTCTCACTGTTGTGGCCTCTACCGTTGTGGAGCACAGGCTCCGGACATGCAGGCTCAGCGGCCATGGCTCACGGGCCCAGCCGCTCCGCGGCATGTGGGATCCTCCCGGACCGGGGCACAAACCCGCGTCCCC